CAAAACCACACAAGACAAAAACATTTTTTTTTTTTTTTTTTTGTAGAAGGGCCTCACTTGTTACCTGCTCTTGGGTTCCAACTCCTAAACTCAGCAACCTAGCTTGGCTTCCAAACTTGTTACGATTATAGGCATGAACCACCACATGTAGTTTAATTTTTTTTTTTTTTTTGAACAGAGTCTCGCTCTGATCACCGCACAGACTGAAGATGGCCGTGGCAACCGATCTTCGGCTCACTGCAAAGCCTCTGCTCACCCGGGTTCATCCATTCTCCTCCGCACAGCCTCCCGAGTAGCGGAAACTGAACACCGCCCGCCACCCTCAATCTCCTGACCTTGTGATCCGCCCGTCTCGGCCTCCCAAAGTGCTGGGATTACAGGCTTGAGCCACCGCGCCCGGCCTATCTTTTTTTTTTTCGTTTTAAACAGAGTCTCACTCTATTGCCCAGGCTGGAGCGCAGTGGCACAATCTCGGCTCACTGCAACCTCTACCTCCCGGGTTCCAGCAATTCTCCTGCCTTGGCCTCCCAAGTAGCTAGGATTACAGGGATGAGCCACCACACCTGGCTAATTCTGTATTTTTAGTAGAGATGGGGTTTCGCCACATTGGCCAGGCTGGTCTCAACCTCCTGACCTCAGGTGATCCACCCACCTCGGCCTCCCAAAATACTGGGATTACAGGTGTGAGCCACCGTGCCCAGCATTTTTTTTCCCCCCAGGGTGGAAAGCAGTGGTGCCATCATAGCACACTGCAGCCTCAACCTCAGTTTAGCATCTTTCCAACTCAGCCTTCCAGCTAGGACTGCAGGTATGCACCACCACACCCAGCTAATTTTTAAATTTATTTTGAAACAGGGTCTTACTTTTGTCACCCAGGTTGGAGTGCAGTGGCATGATCTCGGCTTACTGCAGCCTCAACCTCCTGGGTTCAAGCAATCCTCCTGCCTCAGCCCCCCACGTAGCTGGAACTCCAGGCACATACAACACTGTTGGCTTATTTTTGTATTTTTGACAGAGATGGGGTTTTGCCATGTTGCCCAGGCTGGTCTCAAACTCCTGAGCTCAAGCGATCCACCAGCCTCAGCCTCCCAAGGTCCTGAGATTACAGGCATGAGCCACCACGCCTGGCCTAATTTTTAAATTTTTTTTGTAGAGACGGGGGTCTCACTATGTTGCCCAGGCTGGTCTCAAACTCCTAGGCTCAGGTGATCTTCCCACCTCAGCCTCCCAAAGTGCTGGGATTATAAGCAAGAGCCATGGGGTCTGGCCCCACTTTCATCTTATTACAATGATTCTCAATCTTCCCAGTTCACAGGAATCACACTGATGAGCTTTCACTGTGCTCAGGAATTCCTATGCTCAGGCCTCACCCTCTAAGATTCTGATATAAATATACGAAAGTACCTGTCTGCAGACTTGTAATACTATCTGAGTAATTTTTTAAACTTAGAAAAAATTATTTCTTGATAAGTATAATCACAAGCTTTTTTATAGCAGGCTAAATAAGTTCAAGGTTAAACAATGCTTCAGAAAGAAGAAAACGTAAGTTAATAATCAGAGACCAAATTTTGAAAGCAACCACTTCATGACCATAGTCTGTCAACCTCATCGAATAAATGAGATGTCATTCTCTCCAAACCTGACCACCTAAAACCTAGGAGTCAATCTAAACCATGTGAAATGGCAACAATGTAAACAGAACAGTCACAGAAACAGGCTAGGTTCACTCCGACCAGTTACCCTTAAATCCTGCTTACGGACAGTGACCCTTACCTTAGTTACAATTTAAGGCCAGGTGTGGTGGCTCATGCCTGTAATCCCAGCACTTTGGGAGGCCAAGGCAGGCAGATCACATCAGGCCAGGAGTTCAAGACCAGCCTGGCCAACATGGTAAAACCCCGTCTTTACTAAAAATACAAAAATTAGCCAGGTGTGGTGCCACACGCCTGTAATCCCAGCTACTTGGGAGGCTAAGGCATGAGAATCATATGAACCCGGGAGGCAGAGGTTGCAGTGAGCTGAAATCATGCCACTGCACCCCAGCCTGGGCAACAGAGTGAAACTCCGTCTCAAAAAATAAAGTTAGAACTTAAAGCTAAACTTTTACCTATTATTTCAGTTAGCAACAGTTAGTGTCAAACATGGCACTAATAGTAACAATTAGAAAGCAAAGTTTCAGCGCTGGACTTGGTGGCTCATGCCTGTTATCTCAACACTTTGGGAAGCCAAAGCCAGAGGATCACTTGAGCCCACGAGTTTGAGACCAGCCTGGGCAACATAGCAAGACCCCATCTCTACAAAAAATTTAACAATTAGCTCAGTGTGGTGGCACACAGCTGCAGTCCTAGCTAAGAGGCTGAGTTGGGAGGATTGCTTAAGCCAAGGTTGAGACTGCAGTGTGCTATGATGGCACCACTGCTCTCCACCCTGGGCTACAGAGTGAGCTTCTGTCTCAAAAAAAGAAAAAGATGGCCGGGTGCGGTGGCTCAAGCCTGTAATCCCAGCACTTTGGGAGGCCAAGACGGGCGGATCACGAGGTCAGGAGATCGAGACCATCCTGGCTAACACAACTGGGAACTACATTGCGCACCACCACGGCGCACTAATTTTTTGTATTTTTAATAGAGACAAGGTTCTTCACTGTGGTTAGGCCAGGAGGGGGTCTCTATTCTCCTGACGTCGTGATGCGCCCACCTCGCCTCCCAACCAGTGCCGGATTACAGCGCATGGACCATCCGCCTGGCCTTTTTATGCATTTTTTTTTTTTTTTTTTTTTTTTTTTTTTAAGAGAGGCTCTCGCTGTGGTCACTTAGGCTGGTGTGCAGTTGATGCAAACATAATTGACAAACCTTGAACTCCTTGGGTTTAAGAGTCTTTGAACTCTTGAACCACTGGCCTGGTTTATCTTTTTTTTTTTTTTTTTTTTTTTGGAAGACGGAGTCTCCCGATCTGTCGGCCCCAGGCTGGGAGTGCAGTGGCCGC